CTAAAGAGCGAAATACACCACACAAGCGGTTTGACAAACCAAGCGAAATTTCCCTTTGCTTCAAGCCATTTGTGCTGTGTATGGGGGTGTTTGAAGGTTTGACGGCGGTTTGTGTGGTGTATTTCGCTCTTTAGTTTTCGTTGTGAATGTGTTGGAGTTTCAACAATCGCGTCTTGTAGTAATTTGAATTGCTCTTTTGAAAAGAAGAAGCATTTGCGTAGGGCGCGAGAAAACTTGGGTAAACTATCATTTTTAAAACAAGTACATTTAAGCAGTTTATTTAAATGGAAGTAATAAACGCGAATAGGCAGGAGCCGCAACTTAACCTCGGTAAGCTTATCAAACTATTTGCTTAACTTTATGCATATCACGAATTGTTTCACAGATATCAACGCGCAGCGTAACTTCATAAAATACTATGCCAAATCAGAGGACGTAAGTTTTTCAATAAATAAAACTAATAAATATGCAAATATTATTATTTATAGAAACCCCCAACAACTGTGCGATTCTTCGATCGCATTGATTTTTACACTGTGCATGGCACAGACGACTGCGAGTTGATTGCTAAACTGATCTACAAATCTACTGCATTTGTCCATAAACTCCTACCTGATGAATCGGACGCGCTCAGTTATGTTACTTTATCAAAAGCGAACTTTAATATGGCTGTTAGAGAGCTGCTTTTGGTCCGCAACTTCCGCGTGGAAGTTTATGTCCGCCCGGTTGGCGCTGCAGCAGCAAGCAATAACTGGGAACTTGAATATCGCGGATCACCAGGCAATTTGNTCTACAAATCTACTGCATTTGTCCATAAACTCCTACCTGATGAATCGGACGCGCTCAGTTATGTTACTTTATCAAAAGCGAACTTTAATATGGCTGTTAGAGAGCTGCTTTTGGTCCGCAACTTCCGCGTGGAAGTTTATGTCCGCCCGATTGGCGCTGCAGCAGCAAGCAATAACTGGGAACTTGAATATCGCGGATCACCAGGCAATTTAATACAGTTCGAGGAAATTTTGTTTGGAAATCGTGAAATACTTGTGAGCAACAACTTACTGTCGCTCCAGGTTCGTTTGGTTGACGGTAATCAGCGTCGTTTAGGCGTGGCCTTTGTGGAACAGAACGATTGCCAATTTCATGTTTTGGAGTTTATCGACAACGATTTCTTCACCGAGCTCGAAGCGATGGTGGTGCTATTAGGCCCAAAAGAATGCCTTTTGCCAGCAGCAGATGGAGAGGTATTATACATAAGTGTGTATAAATCTAAATCCATATAGTCCATATTCGTTTTGTAGTACATTGCAGTAAGGCAACTGCTGGAACGCAACAATGTAGGCGTAACTGTACCGNAAAGAATGCCTTTTGCCAGCAGCAGATGGAGAGGTATTATACATAAGTGTATAAATCTAAATCCATATAGTCCATATTCGTTTTGTAGTACATTGCAGTAAGACAACTGCTGGAACGCAACAATGTAGGCGTAACTGTACCCAAACGCTCTGCAGCAACGCCCGCCGATAAGAACGACTTGCTGCAGGATCTTAATCGCTTGATACGTTTTGCGAAGGGACAGCAGGAAGATGCTTTAACATTGCCGGAGATGCAACTCACCATGGCTATGGAAGCTTTGCGAGTTGCTATAAAATACTTAAATTTAACCAACGACGCCAGCAATTTAGGGCACTATGAAATTAAGCAACTTAACCTGAAGCGGTAACCTTAGCAGTTAAAATTAATGAAAGAGTTAAGTAAATCTTACGTGTTCTTTAGCTTTGTACACTTGGATTCAGCGGCTGTTGCTGCGCTCAACATTCTGCCCAAACCTGGCACCAATCCTAACTCTCCCGGCTACCACTGGCAGAGCATTCTTGGCGTACTCGACCACTGCCGCACTCCTCAAGGACATCGCCTTCTTGCCCAATGGATTAAGCAACCGCTACGTAGCATCGAAATTCTAAACGATCGGCATGACATTGTTCAGTGCTTATTAGAATCGCCAGGCACTCTAACCACACTACACGATGACTACTTAAAGCGCATTCCTGACGTGTTAATGCTGACGAAGCGTCTGCTACGTCAGAAGGCTAACATGCAGGACCTCTTTCGTGTGTATCAAGTTGTTTTGCGTACACCTCGTATAGTCAACACTTTACTTAGCCTTGAGCATGCCACTGTAAAAAATGTGCTCTGTGATGCAATGAAGAGTTATTTAGAGGATTTGTCGGGTTTTAAGCAGTTAGTTGAGCAAGTAGTCGATTTTGAAGCTATTGAAGCAGGCGACTACCTTGTGAAGGCTTCTTTTGATGAACAATTGCAAGACATGAAGAATCATATGTCGCGTGTGTTATCGAAAATGGAGCGCTTACAGCAGAAGGCTGCAGATGATTTGAATATGGAAAAGTCGCAAGTGCGTTTGGAGAATGTCGCAAAAATTGGGTACCATTTTCGCGTTACGCTGAAGGATGATTCCGAGTTGCGTAAAAATAAGAACTATAAGATTCTCGATGTGGTAAAGGGTGGCGTACGCTTCACCAACGAAAAACTAACTGAATATAGTGAGGAGTACGGTACTTTCTGTGATCAGTATGAGGAGCAGCAAAAATCAGTCGTGGAGGAAATTATAAAAGTGGCTATTGGTTATGCAGGACCACTTAGTTCCTTGAACAATGAGCTAGCGCAATTAGATTGTTTAGTCAGCTTTGCAATGGCGGCGTTGGCGGCGCCTACTCCATATATGCGTCCGAAAATGTTAAAAGAGGGTGCGGGTGTATTAGAGCTGAAGGACTTACGGCATCCTTGTCTAGAACTTCAGGAGCATGTTACGTTCATTGCCAACAACGTGGCTTTCGAGAAAGGTGAATTATATTGGGGGGCTATCACAGAATCCATCGTGGTCCGATTTTTCCGCTACGTTCGTATGTATACGCCACGTNAATTATATTGGGGGGCTATCACAGAATCCATCGTGGTCCGATTTTTCCGCCACGTTCCTATGTATACGCCACGTCGTAGCTATTCGGATTTAGTCATAGCATTTTCGTTGATTCCACGAAACATCGGACTGCAATGGATTCTGTGATAGCCCTGATTACTTATTAAAATTAAATTTCTTTAAGTTGAAGTATATAAATTCCCAGATGCTTGCAACATGTTCATAATAACTGGACCAAATATGGGCGGAAAAAGTACTTATATACGATCGGTGGGCACTGCTGTGCTGATGGCTCACGTGGGTGCTTTTGTGCCCTGCAGCGAGGCTACAATAACGATGGTTGATTCCATATTGGGACGTGTTGGAGCCAGTGACAACATTGTGAAGGGGTTGAGTACATTCATGGTCGAGATGATCGAGACCTCGGGCATTGTGCGCGTGAGTTTCTACACATACATATGAAAATAATTAGTAAAATCCCTAATTTTATTAATTTCGCTTCTGTAGACGGCGACCGAAAATTCGCTGGTTATTATAGACGAACTAGGTCGCGGCACGTCGACGTATGAGGGCTGCGGTATAGCTTGGTCAATTGCTGAGTATGATTTACATCATCTATTAAATTTTATTTATAATCCGCTTAATTTGTTACAGACATTTAGCCAAAGTAACAAAGTGTTTCACACTTTTCGCCACACATTTCCACGAAATCACGAATCTGGCTAAATCCGTAGATACGGTAAAAAATTGTCACATGGCTGCCGTCGCAAATGCTGAGAATTTTACGCTCCTATATCAAGTATGCCCTGGTATAATGGAAAAAAGTTTTGGAATACAAGTCGCACGTCTTGCTAATTTTCCTGAAGCTGTGGTGCATAATGCGCAACGCATTTATAGGGAGTTCGAGGATGAATATGCTGATAAGCAAAGTGAAGCAGATAAGGAATTGCTGGACAAAATCGATGCAGCTGTAGAGCGTTTGACAACTACGGGCAATGATGTTGATATCGATGAAGCGGAATTGAGTAAATTGGTTGCAACATTTGCAAAGGATATTAAACAGTTGGACAGCGAATATTTCCGCACTGTACTGTCAGTTGAAGGGAATTAGTGTTCCCAAAGTATAAATTTTTACTTGCATTTAAACATTTACGTATGTTAATTCAGTATTCCCCAACATTTTCTTTATTTTGACTTAAATAAAACCTTTGCATAACTTACAACTATTTCAAAAATTTGAATTTTTTAAATGGCAGACATTTTTCAATGCCTGGTGGAAATTCGGCGCTGCTTAAGTGAAGCGATTTTACATGCTACTTTAAGTTGAAAGTAACAATCGAGGTGCGAACAGACTTTCAACTAATCGCTTCCATCTGAATTAGTATACCTTGTTCTGATCGACATCGAAAACATGTTTTCGTTGCTAAAACTGGGTTTCGACTTAAAACATGTGTTTTCGTCCATGTAAAATCTGTCAAACGAAAACTAGTTTTCGCTGGAAACCACTTGAAAACTAACGTTCCACTGTTGTTGTTGTAACAGCATATNTGTAAAATCTGTCAAACGAAAACTAGTTTTCGCTGAAAACCACTTGAAAATTAACGTTCCACTCATTCCAATCGGTGTCTTCACTCGTTTTTTTCGATTATTTATCGAAGTGGAAGTCATATTTTAGCATCTTTAATATGCCATTTCGGATTTATTGTTAATTGGCTGGCAAAAGTAAAATAAGAATGAAAGTAAGAAGTTACTAATGAAAAGAAAATGAGGGAAAAGCATTTTGGTTTTGTTTTTGTGTAGTAAAACTGTAATCAGAGGATGTAAGAAATGTCAACGAAAACACTAACAGCCGGTGTGAACAGCCTTCAGCCCACTATCTCAAAACACGTTTTCAAAGTGTTTTCGTTGTCGGTCAGAACATGGTATAATAGAGAATAATTTGTAATTTCTACACTTCTGTAATTATNGAAATGTCAACGAAAACAGTAACAGCCGGTGTGAACAGCCTTCAGCCCACTATCTCAAAACACGTTTTCAAATTGTTTTCGTTGTCGGTCAGAACATGGTATAATAGAGAATAATTTGTAATTTTTACACTTCTGTAATTATTTTNGAACAGCCTTCAGCCCACTATCTCAAAACACGTTTTCAAAGTGTTTTCGTTGTCGGTCAGAACATGGTATAATAGAGAATAATTTGTAATTTCTACACTTCTGTAATTATTTTCGGTCACTATTATACAGTCATGTCATGTGCCACTCTGCCATAGCACGGTTGTTGCTCCCTTTCGTACCACAGAAATTTTGTATACATCTCTGAATCAACAAATTTCATGCTCCTCATTATCAGCCCTGATCAGATTTTACCCCCCAGTAGTAGAATGTTCGATATTTAAGACAGTATCGATATCATGAATCGATTTAATTCATTGCATGTACAATCGATATGGCGATATATAGGGCTGAACAATATCGATATCGGAAAAATCGATGTTGAAAATCCTTCTCCCAATTGAATATAATATTAGACCTGCCTGTCAACTCACCTAATTGTGTTATTTCCATCTTGTATATTTACTGAGGATTAAAACGGCATGCCGGTCGACTCAAGCGGTTTGTCCAACTTAAGAGCTAAATACAGAGCTTCAGCCTGCCAGAATGGATTCCTGCATTTATATGCCATTTTAGTATTTTAAAGCGTTTTGGACAATAACTATTACACTTAATAGAACTTTTTTGCTGTTTTGTCAGAGTCTGTTTAAAGTTTTTTTTTTATAGATATTAGTGTAACCCTGTAGAAAATAAAATCAGGTGATCTCAGCTGTGGGGCAGTTCTGCAAAACATCTGATTCTTTTTTCACTTGTAAGTATGCACAATGACCCCAAACCCCCAAAAAAAAGGGCAAATATGCATACATATCACGCATTTATTATTATAGGAAACTATTTCAAATTTTCAATATATGTTTGTACATAAAGCGTAAATATCGAAAGGTAAAATTTAAGAGAAAAGCGGATGTGAAGCTGGCAGCCCTGGGCTTTTTATAATTTAATTCACAATTGAGTAAACACCTGTCTACTATTGCGAATAATTTTTGTGATTAATAAACAAAAAGAGTGGTTAATTGAATGGAGAAATGTTGAAATTTCTGTTTTGCATAAATTAACTACATCTGTCATATTGCAACAACAGCTCTGACTAATCAGTGCAGTGCAATTGAAGCCAAAACTAAATTGCAGCCAAAATATTAAACATCCCACGTCGGCCAATGCCATCCGAATAATTGCAAAATGATGTTAAGAAGGTGTTGCCTGCGACGCTGCAGCATCAGTACAATTATCACCACGCTGGCTGCATCCTTGGCGCTTACCTACTATATCTACTACCAACACAACTCCATCGTGGAAGCTGGATGGAAGTTACCCAGTTGGAATGATNTAGAGCCTTTGAAGATGCTAGGTGTACTACGCGATAAGAAAGATAAGTATATACGCGATATTGGATTTAAAAATCATGCTTTTAATGCGCTTATTTCAAACAACATTGGACCCTATCGTGAGGTGCCTGATACACGGCATAAAATATGTTCCCAAGAACCCAACGATCCTAATGAAGATTTACCAACTATTTCAGTGATTATGTGCTTCTATAATGAACACAAGATGACACTAATACGTTCCATTAACTCTGTAATAAAACGTACGCCAGCACATATACTAAAAGAAATTATACTGGTTGATGATTTTAGTGACCTTCCCGAGTTAGAATTTCATTTGTTAAGCGACTTACATGCGCAACTTCATTACGATCGTCTGCATTATATGCGCAATGAAAAACGAGAAGGGCTGATACGTTCGCGTATAGCAGGCGCACATTCCGCGGAGGGCGATGTGCTGGTTTTCCTCGATTCGCACATCGAAGTTAACCAGCAGTGGGCAGAACCGCTAGCGCGTGCAGTAAAGCAAGAAAATTCAACCATCGCCGTACCGGTGATGGATCTTATTAGCCCTGATACGTTTGAATACAGTCCTAGTCCCTTAGTGCGTGGTGGTTTTAATTGGGGCTTACACTATAAGTGGATCACATTGCCAAAAGGCACTTTGAAAAAAGATGAGGACTTCAAAGGCCCATTTAACACACCTACAATGGCGGGCGGTCTCTTTGCAGTAAATCGACAGTACTTCAAACATATTGGTGAATACGACGAAGGCATGGATATATGGGGCGGTGAGAATATCGAAATTTCCTTCCGCGTCTGGCAATGTCACGGCGCTATAAAGATATACCCCTGTTCGCGGGTTGGACATATCTTCCGCAAAAGACGTCCCTATTCCGCTCCCGATGGTAAGGATACGATGAAGCGCAACTCATTACGCGCAGCACACGTTTGGATGGACGAATACAAGGATTACTTCCTGAAGGAAACAAAATCCGCACGCGATTTGGACTACGGTGACATATCAACGCGTTTAGAACTGCGTAAACGTTTGAAATGCCATGACTTCGCATGGTATATGAAAAATGTGTACCCCGAAATGCTGCTGCCTGGCCAAGAAAGCAAGAAATCTGCAGCGGCTGCTGGTGTTTATCAACCATGGCATTCACGAAAACGTAATTACCTTGCCACATACATGATACGACTGACTGGCACTAATTTATGTGCGTCCGTTGTGGCGCCCAAAGTCAAGGGCTTCTTAAAGAAGGGTAGTCCCCTGATTTTGCAAGCTTGCATTCGCACTCGTAACCAAATATGGTATGAAACTGACAAGGCCGAGATCGTGCTGGACAAGTTGTTATGCCTCGAGTCATATGGCGACTCGCAGGTGCACATAAATAAGTGCCACGAAATGCTGGGCGATCAGCAATGGCGACATACTCGCACTGAGCATAGTCCCATCTACAATATGGCGGCAGGCACTTGTATGCGTGCGAAAGCAGCACAAATAGGTGCTGGCATCATATTGGATTTGTGCTCGAAAGACGATGCGAGTGCATGGGATATAGTGAAGGTAGAGGAGACATCGTGAGATGTGCGTTGGTGGAAAGGAAAATAATTGCGATAATGAAAAATGGACGCACAGGACGAAGTAAACGATATGTCAGCCGCCATTAGTTGTGCAATCCGGGAATGATAGACTGATCTTCACTGCAGCAATAAACTCGTAGTTATTATGTATCCAATTAGTTATTAGTTTAAACTAAGTGTATAAATTCGTATGCTTGCGAATATTTTCTACATTTTTAAGTTGTAAAATAGCCAACAAATTATTTTTTATATCAATATACTTATATATAAACCAGTATGGAAAATATTCATTTTAGTATGCAGCGCATGCTCCGTATTCACTTGGTAGGTAATTATATTTGCCAGTATTGACGAATGTAATTTGTACAATAACATCACTACTAGACGTGTCTAATATTCTTTATTCTTATATGTACGTTCATTCATACATACTTATGTGTGTATATAAGCTAAAAAGACAATTGTAGTTTTGTAATCCCTTTAGTTTAAATAAAATTTTCAAAAGACGTCAATGCGTATTCCCGTGTCTTTGTAATTTTAGGAAAAATGCTCATTTTTTGTGTGTTTAAGTATACCATTTTATTTCGTGTTGGTCTTTTACATATACATAGCATGTACTAAAAAATGGTTTTATCGATAGTATATAGCGTAAAATTATTTCGGTTCTTATTATACTAACGTGCACACACAAATATAGTTTAAACGAATTTAAATTGCAAATACATTTTTCTGGGGGACAACCAGGCGAAGTCTTCAGGATTCATCGTTTAAGTCCAGAACTTTTCTTCCATGTGGTTGCGTTTCTCTCACAGAGAGAGACACATAACAACAACCACATGGAGGAAAAAGTTCAGACTAGAATGGTGAATCCGCATTTAAGGAAAAAAATTTTAATGCTTAGCGTGATATTTGAGAATTTTTTTTAAAGCAAACTAAAGTAAAAAAAAGTAGTGAACCTCTGACTACATACATGTATATGTACATGTATTCGACTAAACATATCGCTAGCTTAGAGTGAAAAGTCGCTAAGTCCAGTTTTCAAATTTTACAGGAGATAATAAAATCATTTCAAACTCATTTTCTTCAAGCACTTACGACCAAATTCACAGTGCGTAGTTAACTTAGAATCGGCAGTTAACTACAGATTTTTGTACTCAAACACTGTGAATTTGGACCTTATTTTGCAACAATTTTAATTCAAAATTCGGTGTAATCTAAAGTAAAGCATCACCAAATCTAACAACAATGTTGATGATGAATAGAAGCGGTAAGAAATAAAGCAGACCGTTTGATGTTTTTAGAAACAGATGCATTTTTTATTGTTCTTACTTCTTGCATCAAAACATAATTTTTTACAAAACTTGAACTTGGCAACTTTTCACTCTACGCTAGCGATATGAATGTAGGTGTTTGTTAGCCGATACAAAATTTTTGCTTTAATTGCTTTCTGTTAACGTTCATTTAAGTTTTTATCACACCCTTACGTGCTTATTTGGGATACTGCTAACTATAAAAGCTTTCGCCGAATGTTTTTTGTGGGGAAGCTTGAGCTGAAAACCAACTCCCACTCCCATATCCATCTCACACATGGAGGTAGTGAGCTGTTGGGCGGAACATGTGATTTTATAATAAGGTAGGGTGTAAATTCTGAGTTAAATGCTTCATTTTAATCCCAAGAAGATACATATGTACATATGCATGTACGTAGAAAAAATATGTGAACATACAATGGTGGCCACACAATTAGGGACACTTATGAAGGTTTAACATTGCATTTTCTACATGAAAATTGTATGAAAATATTTTGCTGATAAGCAGTTTTATAATAAATGTATGTAGCCAAGCGAATATGAATATTTATGTAAGAATTAGCGATTTATTCAACACAAAATGTACATATCGCTCATTAGACGCAGGGTGTCATAATCCAATTAACTAGATTTTGTATTATTTTGGATTATGAACCTCTTGCAGCAAATGTGCGATATGTTTAGCCAAAAATCGCAATCGAGATATATTAGCCAGGGGGTATTTTAAATATATATAACCAATAAAAAAAGCTTTGGCTGACAGCAGTTGTATCAATCTTTAATTTTTAATTATGAATTAAAATTATTTATTCGTGTTGTACTTTACCACAATTGTTTGTGTGCAATTATAAGTGTATTTTATAACTGAATTGGCTATTATTGTATTTAAATACCGTTACACCTGCACTAAATAGATATTTATTGTTTTTGTTTTATTGGACTACCTTACATTTATTGCATTCTCATTTTGTATTACGCACGTCTTTAACGCTTATGAAAATATTACATTAATAACCATTTACTGTTCTTATCGTGAATCAATCACAAAAGATAAAGAAAATCGCGTGAAAACATTTGAAATGCAGCTGGTTGGATCAACCCAGCATTTGAGAAGTCTCAACTAACTTTTGCTATGCATATTGTGAAGACAAGAAATCCTTCATACATATAGTATAACGCAAGAGCACTTCTCAGCACTACCATCTGTTTATAATTCGCTAAACATTGTTCGATTTTGCGTTTTCTAGTTCCTAAACGTATATATGTATGGATGTATCTCTTTAATAATTATCATTTAAATTGTATAATTTTTTTACTTAGATTTAATAGCAATTACTTGTTTTGCTTCGTTATAGTTAAACTTAACTAAGTAGATAAATGAAAATATAATAATACATAAACAAAAAGAGAAGAGAAATTTGTATGTGGAATTAATGCATATTTAACATGAGCATTGATCTTTTGTATTTGGTGCTTCGTTTGTTAGCGAAGTTCGTCCTGGTTGTGATGGTCGGTGTTGTACGCCCGATTCAGAAGCGTTCAAATCCAGACGTCCCTCCTGTATATTTTGATATATTTTACGCGCAGTTTCAAGAAATGCTTCTTCAACATTTTGACCACTGCAAATAAAGACATTGGTCGTAAAAAATCCAAATCAAATAATGTTTATTAAAACTTTACCTCATTGCACTAGCTTCCAAAAACATTAAACCGTTTTCATCAGCAAACTCTTTGGCCTCTTCATAGGTCACTTCGCGTGTACTTTCAAGATCTGATTTGTTGCCAATTAAAAAGATCACAGTATTGGGATTTGTGAGATTACGTGTATCAGATAGCCAACTGCTGAGATGATTATAAGTAGATCTGCAAAAAGGAATATGACCAAAAATTTGCAGAAGCTGTGTGTAAAAAAGCACAAAAATACTTTGAAATCTTTGTTCTTGCTTACCTTCTAGTAATATCGTAAACCATAAGCGCACCAGCCGCGCCACGATAGTATGAACGCGTCACGGCACGAAAACGCTCCTGACCCGCTGTGTCCCAGATTTGCAATTTGATTTTCTTATCATCGACCTCAATGATCCGTGTACCGAACTCCACACCAATCGTATGTGGGCAATTCGCCATGACTGTAAATAATTGTTATATGCATATAGTGCATGTGTATGCAAGGATGTATATTAGGGCGGGTCAATTTGTATGGGAGATTTTTTCGACTATAGGCATATAGCATAGGATTCAACGTCTAATTCTAAGCAAATTCTCCGATGAAATCATGGGCCTAAAATCAATTTGGAGTTTTTATGCATAAAAATAGTTTCTTTAAGAACTTTTTTATAAAATCCCCTCAGATGACAAAACAGTTTAAGCTTAAAAAATCTGCAAAAAATTATTTAAAAATCTTTTCAACGGAATCATAATAATGAGATTTTTGATTCTGTGTTTTAACTTTTTTCAAAGATTGGTTTAAGAAAAACTTGAATAACTGGGCCAAAGCTGTTCCGATTTAGACTTTCTAAGTAAAAGAAACCTATTTTCGCAATTTGGCAAACTCCAAATTGATTTTGGACCCATGGTTTCTTCGGCAAATTTGCTTAGTAATACATGTAGATCCTCCTATGCTATATGCTTGTACATACATATGTACATATGTTCTACCTACATTTTTTCTCTGTGAACTGATGCAGCAGGCATGACTTGCCTACTCCCATATCACCGATANATGTAGATCCTCCTATGCTATATGCTTGTACATACATATGTACATATGTTTTCCATGTACATATGTTCTACCTACATTTTTTCTCTGTGAACTGATGCAGCAGGCATGACTTGCCTACTCCCATATCACCGATGATTATATACTTAAAGATGTAATTATAGTTGTATGGTGCTGATGACATTTTTGGATCTGAAAAATAAGAAAAAAATTAAATGAAATCAAGTTGAAGGTTATTCCCAATTTACGAAGCAAATTATCTTCATACATGTCTCTAATAAGCAATCAATATCCTTGGCGAATTTCGCCAAAAGAGAGAACATATTTGGGCACAAGTAAAAATTTTAAACTTATTAAAGCTTGTAATTTTCTTCCAGGCGTGTAAATTTTTCAGATTGCGTTGTCAGCATTTCGTTTGTTGCACTATCACTGAAGTCGATTGTGTTGTTAGAACTTTAGTGGCACCATTTATCCGTCCAGTTGGGTTGGCTTACCTTCCAATCAAATCAATTGCATATGTATGCGTGTATGTAAGCATTACTATAATAGGCGGCATACACAGTGCGTCTGCCTATTAGCGTGCTCATTTCATACCCGTGGTATGAAAGTAATGCCGGTTACTAAGCCACTGGCGGTTTGTTATCGGTTGTTATGATGAGGGAACGTGTGGTGGAAATGTTGGAATATGTAAAAAATAATGAAACAGCTCGTAGTAAATTACGCATGGGAAAAAAGGAATACGTAATTATAAATTTGGTTTTATATATAAAGGTCTGTACATATGTACATATTTTCCGTTGTTAGGGCAAAAAAAAAACTAAAATGTAGGCGGAAAAGACAACAAAAAAAGAGGCTCAATCAAACGCTTGGAAATCAAGCGGAAAAAGTAATGTGACAAAGAATTACTGAGCGGCTACTTGTTTTTGCGTGTACGTAGGGGTTTCACAAGGGGTGTTGAGCGTCGTTAAATCTTAAGTCTTAAAAGTTCTATATGCAAAATAAAGGCGTGTTTGCATTGTTCAGCATTCCGTTCAACTTTTTTTTGAATGCGACAGTTATACATATAGTTAAAAATCCTTTACAACCATTTTAATTAATTCATTTATTTACTTGAAAAATCATTAGTACAATAAGATCTGCAATCTTTTATAGTACAACAAATAAAAAGTAAAACCAGAAAGATAAAACAAGGTAATAATAGTTACTAAGACTAAAACTTATAATAAAGTAAAGCTAAAACTCATAATAAAAAGTACAGACAATTAAAGCAATACAGAGGTTATACATATTAACATGAGATTTTTTATTCAGATAGCGAAACTCATAATTATAAAACGTAAATTTACTTTAACGAGTTGATTTTATTTAGACTACTACGATTTGCCATTGGAATAGAATTAAATGTACGAATAGCATTGACAAAGAATACTATCAAATCATTAATTCGAGCTGATTTAGGGAAAATGAGCTTGTTATATAGATAATCAGGCTCCTTGTACATAATAAGTCGATAGAGAAAGATGCCGTTTCTTGTTTTCAGATAATCAGACATTTCACAGCCTAAAAAACGCGATCGCCAACCAGAGATATGGTCAATATTAGCTAACCCGAACACATATCGTGTAACATGGTTGGATGCTTATTTTACGTATAAAAAATTTACGACTTAAGATTTTACGGCGCTTAGCACGCCTTGTGAGTCCCCTAAGTATGTAGGGATACATGTCCCAGAAGATAATTTAGGTAGGCCTTCTTAAGTAAAGCCATTCTAAGAGGCCTACCCAAGAAGGGCTGAAAAATGTGCTTCCTTGCATGCCTTCTAGAAGGGCTTATCCTTTTACATTTTACGCGAATGCATAAATTTATATTATTAAGCATTACAAATAAATTTCAATAAACATTTTAAGCTGCAATAACACATGTTTGATATAAACCGCAAGCAAAAATACTTCAAAGATGTATGATTTTTATAAATTAAAGAAGCAACTTTAAAAGAACTCCCCCAAAAGCTCTTCTGAAGTATATCCTGTAAAAGCCCTTCTGGAAGGCCTTCCATGG